CCGTCCAGTCGCTACGGCGGACGTTGGCTCACTCGTCGTCATTTGTTTTCACTCTGCTCGGCCGAAAACGTCGGCCCGTGGCTGACCTTAAGTCCGATTACGAAGAGGACTTCTCTACTTATGGTCAATTCTCGTTCTTTGGTTTATCCTTCTGTAAATAAATTGCGAGTGGGTCTCTCTCTCTCTTTTCTTTTTATTTTTTGCGTATCTCCTTTTTTCCCCGTCTTCTCCTGCACCCCGTGCATCGGCAATCTATGCTTAATCTTCCTCGTATTCTCCTTCGCGTATGCGCGCTACGGAGCCGCGACGTTCCACTGAATTATACATAAGTCAGGGAATAAAATATGCCGCGAACGTTACCGGCAAAAATAAAGCATAAAAGTAACGCCGCTGCTACGTGAACCGTCCCGCGCGCCCTGCGCTGCCCGGCTGCATGTGCTTACAGCTGTACACGAGTAACGCTATAAACGTAAACGGACGAGCATCAATAGTTAAATCCAGCAGGCGAGAGCTGGGCCGGCCGGTCGGTCTACCATACCGACGCGTGGGTTTATGTCCGTGCTAAAATATTCCTTTCTTTTCCCTTGTAAAATGTCAGGGAGTACGTGTCAATGGGCTTTTAATGTATTTTCCAAAAAACTGCCGCCACCGTACCCTGAAATCGCTTTGGTCCCTTCGCTGCTCTCGCACCTGCGCGGAGAGAGAGAGAGAGAGAGTCGAGGCCGTCGCAGTCCTGCCACGTCGTCACGTAGATTTCTAGCCGGAGTGAAAGACTTTGACATTTTCCATAGACAACGGACTCTCTAATGGCGACCACTTTGCCGCTTCCCGTATGTCGCGCCGCCGCGCGACGCGAGGCAACAAGTGGATTTATCGGCCGCCTTAAAAGCCAGTTAGCCGCTATACGTGGCGTTCGAGAAAATCTCGCGCCTCCTCGTGTGCTTGGCGATTGCGCGATGCTTTCTTTTATTCTTTCACTTGTCGAAGAAGAGTCGGATGGGCAATGTGGGCGACTATTCGGCTGTCGGTTTTGCGCGCCAACCTACCTATAATTATAGGCACGTCTAGTTGCCGTGCCTGTAGAGCAGTCAGACTGTGTGATTATCTTTGAAAAAAAGAAGTAAGTCATTTTTCCAAAATTTTTCTCTTTCAACAAAGTCATTGAAATTTCGCGAAACGCGTCCCTTCGGAAGGTGCTCGGTCGATGTAAACGTATTTTCGATTTTCGTAAGAGCATTCAGGCATCCAGTGTCTCGCTGAATCATCAATTTCATCATCGTCATCGACCAGTTCGTCCGTATTATGAGAATGACTGGACCTCGGGAATAACATTGACCATACCGCGACGCTAAAAGTATAAAATGAAGAAGAAAAAATGAAAATCAATTCAACGTAACATCTGTGTCGAGTGTCATGTGAATCTTGATTGGATGCGGTAATATATCAATGTATTCGTCATTCTCGTGCCGATTCTTAGTATTCTTCTGAGGACGTTTATACGTCGTGCAGCTTCCATCTTGCTGGAGAGTCATGATCTCTCAGTAACCTTATACCTGTATCTACGTGTGTATATATATGTATATGCTCTTGCTTGTTCTTACGATTTCTGCAAGAGTCTTCTCTCTCTCTCTCTCTCTCTCTCTCTCTCTCTCTCTCTCTCTCTCTCTCTCTCTCGGTCTCCACTCCGGCACAGCAGTCACTCTCGGTATCTCTCGTAAATAGAATCCAAGTGACTGTGTAACCTTCCCCACTTGTTTTCCAGCGGCGGGGAAGGGGCCTTCTTCAAGGACGGCCACGTCGGGTTTTCCAAATCGTGGTCCTGGTCCCACGTGGACTTCCTATCTGCGTCTTCGTCGCGAGCGCTGCGAGAGAACGGAACGAAGAGAGTCCAAGGAGTGACGGAAAAAAGCAAGAGAGAGAGAGAGAGAGAGAGAGAGAGAGATCGGTAAAAAAAAGGAGACGAGTGCGTGACGTATGACCCACGAAACACGATGCCATTCCGTAGGCAGTAAATATTCCGAAGGAAGGTTTAAAGGATGGAGAGAAAAAGAAATCGTTCCAGCCTCCCGTAGGTGTGCTGACGCGTTATGCTGGACCGTTTGAAATTCGTGGATAAAAAACAAAAGAGAGAGAGAGAGAGAGAGAGAGAGAGAGACTCCCTTCTCTCGTAAGTCTCATACGTACGTGCGCGTCTATGCGGAAGCTGACTGGTCCACGGAGGTGTGTCAGCAAACAAACGTTGAGAGAAAAAAAAAAGGAGAATTGGATCGCGAGCGTGGGAGGAGCGATGACGCGATAAGAGATCGTTACATGATAAGTGGGAGTCACGCACGTTCGGTACGCACTCGTTTTTTCTAGCCTCTTTTTTTTTTCTCGAGTTTCGCCTCCTCTACGAGCTGCTCACGCATACGACTTCAAGTTCAATGTTCCCATATATTAATAGATTGGTCTTTCCGTATTGTTTTCTTCTCGTATCTGGTCCAGATATTGATCTTCGCGCTTGGCTAAATATCGTCCAACCTACGGCGATCGGCTGCTTTGGGAGCCTGGACCGATCTGGACCGATCGGACCGGCATTCTTTTTACACGGGGGAACAGTGCTTTCCGATCCTGCCGCAGCGGCTGGCGCACTGGTCGCTTTCGGGCGACGTTCGGTAGCTGGTGCTTTTGGAAATTTGGCAAAAAAGGTAAAAAAAAAGTCATTAAAAGGAATATCGGCGATAAACAATCGGCGAGAAGTTAGGAGGAGTCCAAAAGTCTTACGAAACTAAAAAATGAAATTTACGCTCGAAATGATTAGCCAATAAAGTCAATCGATCCTCACCCAGCTCCGATCAGATTGATTTCGCATCCTCGTATCAACGTAGAAGAATCCTAACGTCAATTCACTGAAGAAACTTGCGCTTCGCTCGCGTATTCAGGCGCAGGTGCCGTTGTGGAAATCGAATGGCTTCGATTACGTAAGAGTCTTCAGGGTGCACCTTAGTGCCATCGGCACGGCCGAATACGTAATAGGAGCCAAAGAAGCAAAATAAGCGGCAGACAAGCAAACAGGATCGTGGGCGCGGGACTATTAATAGCCCAGGATCCAATACAGAGATCTCGGCTACGGGATTCTACATAATAGGCGCTATGACTATTAATAAAGTACAGCAGAAGATTGGAAATACCAAGGAGCGGCGAGTCGGTCGGATCAGCCCCGTAGCTTCCGATTTGCGCCTAGACGATGCAAAGAGACAACAGGAGATCTGACTGGTCGGCGCGGGGAGCTGCAGGCTGGGCCGACGTCTCCTCGCACTCTCCTGTCTCTCTCCACTCTTTCCGTCCTTCCTTCGAACGGCCTTTCTCACTTTTTCGGCAATTCGAATTTCACGGACTCCGGCCTACAAGCATTTGATAACAGCGCGCCGGCAGCCGGCGCCGCGTCCCTCCCTTTGCTGCGGACAAAGGCCTCCGGTGGCTCGTAACTGGCGGTCGTAACTAAGCCCCTCGGTGTTGGCTGCCCTGTGACGCGGTGTGACGCGCTGTGATGCACCGGGCGCATTACGGGCCAGCGTTATGCCCCCATTATGCGGTATTACGTTACTATTTACGCTATCGCAACTGCCTATTTATTTGTCTTGCTCGTCTTCCATCCACTGGATGCGGCCTGCCAGGGCCGTGCCAGGATCTTTTTTCGCGGGCGACTCGCCGCTAATGGCATTGTTTATGAAACAATAAAGCTGCGCGGCTATCGGGGCCTGATCTTCCGTCTCCGTTTTCCTCCTTCGAGCAGTCCTCTCCCCTCTCTCTCTCTCTCTCTCTCTCTCTCTCTATTTGCGCAGCGACTATTCCTAGCTGCTGCTGGGAGACATTACGTGCCTTTTCTGCGAAAAAGTACATCCTTCTTGAGCTAGAGTAGATTCTGACTCCTAAGCAGGGGAGGTCAGCAGGGGCGCCAGATCCTGCCCTGAAGATCGAGTTCCGTGATCGAGTAGTTTAGACTTTGAAGAATTATCGATCGATCGGGACCGATCGATTGTTTACGAACAGGGAGGGAATCCCTTGTGAGAATAATGACGTAAGGCAGATTCATTCATGAACCGCGGAACGACGCTGCTCGAGGGTCGCGTTGCGTAACGCGCCTTACGCACAGTTAAAAAGACGTCTCTACGCAATGGAAACGGCAAAGCGTCTCCATTCTTGGTAATATCCATTTGACGCAATAATTTATCTTTCTTGGATTTATTTTGATCCGGTGAATACCTACGCTGGGAATTGCTTCGTACACGTGGGAGGACCAAAGGAAAAGAGAAAATAAAACTCTGAGAGAGAGAGAGAGAGAGAGCGAGGAGAGTCGGCCGTTCGGCCGCTAGTCAGCCAGCCGATCGTCAGCCGATCGTCAGCCGATCATAGAAACGGCTGGCTACGCGCAAACGCGTTAAATCCTCAGGAGGATCGGAGCACCCGCGGTAACGAGAGTCCTTGCGTCGTACGTGTCGTTCTCCATTCATTCATAAAGTCCTTACGCGTCCAGGGGATTGCGACCAGTGCGCCGCTTTATCTTTAGTAGAAGTTACGACGTGAGGGAATCGTGCTATGGGCCTATACATGCCTCATTATAACGCATTACGGTAATACGTAAATGCACCGTAGCACGTGCAGTACGTGCACAGGATACGTGACATGATTCTAAGGACCCCTGTTTCGAGGCTGCTCCTCATCTTTCGCGTTACGAGTAGCGACAATGCAGCGCGTCGCGGTACCCGCGAAGGTCCCTTCGCACAGTGAAACGAGGGAAAGGATGAAAAAGAGGCACGTTCAAGAGGACCATTCTCTACTCCTCTTTCACTTATGAGCGCACGCAGGCCGCTACGACGGTCCTGAGGATCCTGAGGATCCTGAGGATCCTGAGGGGGGATCCCGGCGCAAACGACTATATTCTCGAGGATCGAGAACCGAAGCCGAGTCCATAGCTGAGCCCACGCTGGAAAATGAGAAAGGCCGGTAAATACGCTGGCGAATGAGCGTCCCGCAATGAAGTCGCGCGTTACGATTATTATCCTTATGACTCCACCGGAGCCTTTTCTCGTGGCCTATCGGTCCCAGGATCTCGGCGTCGGGGCCACCCAATGTGGATGGCACCTAGGGTTACCCAGCACGCAACGTCGTCACTCTGCACACCTTCAGAACACGAATGCACGCAGCATCCTAGAGGATTCGTATAGGATCTTTTTGCGAAACGACGAGGCCTGGTCCTCCTCGCTTCCTCCTAGGAAGTGATCTGGACCCACTAGGAAGTCAATCGGGTCTCACCTCAGGGCTGCGTACCATTAGTCACGTGGCCGACGCGAAGCACGTAGCTTCGTCGCTACGTAGGACTGCTGTACCCCAAGGCGAACGTCACGGAAAGGCAGGAGTCGCGGAACAAAGAGTCAACGCCGATTCTCGATGTGTGTGGGGGGGGAGGTGGGTTCGCCACAAAGACCAAGTGAGAGGAGTCGACGTCGAAGGACTCGCGTGCGAGAAGAATCGACGGATACCAGAAAAGGGAAGCTAACCTAACCTGACTTCGAGGAGGATAGAAAGAGTACGTTCGGGAGACGTGGGGGGCGGCGAAGGAGATAAAAAAGAGAGAGAGAGAAAAAATGGTAGACCGGCCGAATAAAAAAATGCAGAGTGAGCCGTTCGATCGGCTGGCACGAAGTGAGTCTCGGAAAGTGAACTGATGTGGTCGCCGGCGGCCGTTGCTGTTTCGCTTAACGTTGACGCGCGACCCGATCGATCGGCTCGATCCTGAAACTGGAGGAGACGCACCGCGTCCTTCTCCTCCTTTCGAGGACGAAGGAGGCCAGTCAGGTTATCCTCTTACAATTAGACGGGACGCAACTGTCATGGCGCCTACACGTGACTACGGGACTACGGGACCGCGGCACTAGGACGATACGTCAGACACGAGTGTCGCTGTTCTTCTCCTCGCGAGCGTTGAATCACAAGCGCGGCAATTCTTTATTGCGCTCGGACGCCGGTGCAGCTTTTTTTTCTTCTTCTTTTCTTCCCTTGTGATTTGTGACAGTTTTCTTTTTAACTTTCCCTTATCACTCTGCGATACTACGTGCGAGAGTGAAGTGGCAACTGTGATTCTTCTTTGTATTCATATAAATTACAGTGACAAGTTGGTAATTGATTGGTCGTGAAACCCGTGAAAAATAAGTGACAGCTGTGCACGCACTTGTGTATTTGCTTCTATGTTTACCAAAATCTACGCTCGTCACGTGTACATAGACGCTCAGTGTGAGAGATGCGTCCAGCCGATCCTGTCGAGGAGAAGGACCTTTACCGATATTTTGGTGTGTAAATCTTTGAACTATTAATTTCCTCCCTTAGCTTCAAAAGAGCCACGTGACACTTTCGTTGTTCTGCAAGTCTTGTAGGTGTACGTATTTGTTATTTTGGAAATTGACGCAAGTAGGAATTTCCAGAGACTTGGGTTTTTGTTTTTCACTTTGCTCCTACCGATTAGCGCAGTATCGTTAAGGCACGCGAAACAAAAAAAAAGAGACAAAAAAGCGTATCAACCCCTGAGACACGAATAGGCACACGATAATAATAACATTAACCGTACTATCGCGAACTGAGATAAGCGTCGATACAGAATTCCAAAGCAAGAGAGAGAGAGAGAGAGAGAGAGAGAGAGAGAGAGAGAGAGAGTTGCTGCTCAAGTCGATTCGATCGGCCATTCCCACAGCGATCTTTGAGAGGCAATCGAAAAGCAGCTGTGACTAATCCGACCTCGTGACCCTGACCTCCTCCTTCGGGAGATACTTGCGAATACGTGAGATAATGTCACGCGTGCTACGTTCGATGCCGAATGACCTACGTCATTCGCAGCGTCACGTACGCGGTGCCAAGGAAATCCCGGGCGCGAGGGACGAGGGGCCGAGGGGCGAAGATAAAAAAGGGTTTCGTCCAGGAGTCGGAGGCTTAGCGCGCAACGGAATGGAGAGAGAAGTAATAAACGTGCTACGGAGAGACGAGGAAGCAGCCTGCAAGGAGGTGCACGTGGAAGGAGGCTGCGCACGTGCCAAGGGGAAGAGGAGCGTGAGTCGAGAAAAAGGAGAGAAAGGGGGGAAGTCAGCGTCGGGAATGTCAATGACAAAAGGAATCGGAAGGAATCGGCTGGGGGAGAGAGGGGTGTGGTGGAGGAGCGACGCAGAGAGACGGGCGCGCGTATTTCGCACGTGCCACGTGGGTCCCAGTGAAAACGGGAAGCGCAATCCGTGACGCAATGGGATTAGAAAGGATCGACGGGAGATCTTGACGTCATTGGTGCTTCGGGGCAAAACGTGGCGAAGGAGGAACCGCGCCAGGTCGTCACCGACCAGGCGGCTGGCACCGCCTGGTGTGGCCGCCGCGTCGGTGCCCGAGTCGCCTGCGTGACTTTTGGCGTCCGCGTGACGTGCCCGGGAGGGACGCGGGAAGAAACAGGCGCGCGGAAACCCAATGGCTGTTTCGATAGCTCAGACTCTCATTGCTGCTGCTGCGTCGCCGGAATCTCACGGAGTCATAGTCGCACAGTCCCGCAGCGATGGTCCTTGAACCTTATCCTTTTTTTCACAGGTCGACGAACCGCCGCACCGCAGCACCGCGCCTCACTCACTCGCACACGTTCTAACCTCCTTGCTCGCCTCTCTTCGAAGGGGCCATTTTGCTGCGGTCTAGTTTAGGCGTGGCAACTATTCGCCCCCCACTGCTCCTCCGTCCTCGCCTTTCCTTCTCCCCTCGTCCCTTCCTCTTTCTTTTTCCCTCTTGCTCTCCGCGACTCCGCTGTCCTTTTTCTCTCTTTCTTCGACTGTTTCTCGTTAACGGAAGCGATGCCGATCGTCGCGGCCGATTCGGCACAGCCAATTTATTAAGGTGGCAACGTTTTGTGGAGACGAGGCAGAAAAAAGGGAGAGAGAAGAAAACCCTGAGAAATCCTTTCGCTTGCGTTTTGATTTTCATGCTCCTTTTTTTTCCCTCTTCTCTCGATCCTCGTCACGCAATGAGAACGTCGGCCGATTTTTCTTATTCGAATAACATGAAATCTTCAATCGCCTGTTCTCCTATACCCTGTCGCTCACTTCTGTCGAATTCACTGGACTGCTGGAATTTCAGTCTCCACTCTTCTCCGTGGCTCTATCCATTTTGCGATTCCGTTATTTCGCAATCGGCCGGCACCGTTATTAACGTCCTTCTTATCATCGAGAGGGAACTGCAGTAACACAGATTGTCTTTATCGTGGTTCGCGCGATCCAGAGTTCAAGCATTCTTCAAAAAAAGCTTCAGTTTCTTTCGCTCAACGGGACGGGGGGGGGGAGGGGGGAGTACAGTCTCGTTATCTGTTGCCAACGTCGAATTCTTCGAGGCGTCTGGAAAGTATTGAAATTCGTTAACGTGGACGACTTTTAATATTCAAAGTGTCTACCGATAAAAGAATCCCCTTATCGTTAAAGACCTCTTGACACTCGCGATAAGATCGATCTCAGCGCATCTCTTGTCTCTTTCTGTCCCTTTGCTCGAGCAAGCGACACGTAACCTCTTTCGAAACAGGGCTGTGTCTTAATGATATCGACAGAACCGATAGGACCCCGATGCGGCATTGTCCTAGGAAGAGTCGACGCATCTTTGAATTTTCAAGGCCGTCGGGCAACCGCGACGTCTCTGCGAACGATTTGCCGTCTCGGAAGATCGATCGGTAACAAACGTTTCGAGTCGGACGGAGCAATAATTCGGAGCGTAGTTGCGTCGCCCGTAAAGGAAATGTCAAGTTTTTGGCAATTTTTCGTGACATAAAAATTGAGGAGATTGTTAAAATCGACGAATGAAATACGAAAGGACACGAGGAGTTGGGTTAGGTTCTACGGGCTTTAAATTGGATCTCGTTTAATTTCCGTTTGCTTCTCCTTTCCTTCCTTCCTTCTTCTGTTATTCCTCATTCTTGGCTCGCGCCGACTACCAGCAGCCGCGTATTTAATCTTCCTACGTTGTGCGTTTACGTAAACGTAGTATGTGGAACGCAGAAGGCCAACACGTCCTCCGCGAGATAGTTACACGGAGAGTAACGAGAGCGGCGTGACTCGAGCCTTAACGGTCATTCACGATTTCGGAATCGGCTCTCTGGGTTCGTGCGCTCCTTCCTTTTTCTGCCTTCCGTGCCTCAACGAGCCTCTCGAATATTTCATCCTTCCTGACTTCCTCCTCGTCTATGTCTCTCCGGCCTCTCCAGCCTCTCCGACCCTTATACCTTGACGCTTATCGCTCGCTCGAGGCTCCGCCGCAGCTATGAACTAGCAAAGGCGCGAGAATGGATTTCGCGGGGGATCAATTCCGTGAAACTCTATAGCGGCGTCGGGACGGTGGGCGTAATATATTCGCGTAATAATTCTGCGCCAGTCTCCTCTTCCTCCTGACCCACCACCCTCTTGTCCCTCCCTCCTCTACTTAACCTTCCCCTTACTCCATTTTTTGGCCAAAATGCTGGACAGAACGCGAAGACGTTCTGTGGTATTTTCGGGAGTTTACAATTCACTCGACTTATTCGCTCCGGCACGCGCGCTGCTGGCTGCCGTGCGAGTCCGGCGAAACGTCAGACTATTTTTAAGTAATTGCCAAAAGTCTCGGCGATCACGATGGAAAATTATTTTTCCCCGCGAATCCGTATTTTTATTCCGAGTGAAAGTACAACGTCAGGCATTCGAGTTGCCTGAACTTTTTATGAGGTATTTGTGAACGCACGAAATTCCGATGCTTCGAGGCGGAACAGTACCAAGTGTTTCGTTACAGGAAACACGTGTCAACAGAAAGGCGTAACAGGATGGGACTGAGTGAGATCGGTGACGTAAAGCTACATAAGAAGCCGAAAGCCAGAAACCTGAGACAGAGAGGAGAACGAAAGTGGATAAGTGGCTGATTACTCGAGAGAAATTATACGTCCGAATTGAATATTCGAATGTTCGCTGATTTTTAATATTTTCCTTGTTCAATTTATTCGCCAGAAATTCCCCGTGCGAATTCCACGAGAACAAATAGGTTCGCTCTCGTTCCGCCTTTCCCGCCGTCTCTCTCGCTCTCTTTCTTTTTCTTCTTTTCACAAGAGCAAACGAGAAAGAGACGCAAGAGGCGCAGGAGTCGAGCAGGATCGGTTCGTTCGCTGAAGCAGCGACCATTGCCGTTCCGTGTGTGCTTGCGTCGGCAGAGCCGCGTCCCTACAGGACACGGACGGGCACGAGAGAGTTCCAGAGTGGTGGTGCCTGTGGTGGTACCTGTGGTGGTGTAATCGTTTATTCCGCGTCGACCTTTGCAGGGCACTACGTCAAGATGTCAGACGCGACCCCGCCTGGCTAAGGGAAGAGATGCACTGGGAACGCTGTAATGGGCTTACAAAGCGTAACAAACTGATGCGAGGTCAAACACACGACGGGCAATAAACACACGGCAAGATAAATGGCCCTTGGATACCCGAGGGAAAGTGTTTTCGCGCTTATGAAACCCCTAGGACTTGCGGGAGATGGCGCTGCTGTCTGTCGGGTAGGACCTGGATGGGCAAACAGTAAAGCCAGCAACAGCCTGAGCAGGAACGGCGACGCGTCCAATGGGGTCATTTATCGTTGGGACAGTTCGCCGCGTCAGGTCGCGTCAGTTCGCGCTGTCGCGCGGTTTATAATCTTTATAACCTGCCTGCCGAGTCCCAACGTGACCCGTAAACCGGGACCCCTGATCTTTCGGGACCCTCGCCTACTTCGAGACGTGCCTTAAGAGACAGAAACGAGCTGCAGCGTCTTGCACGAGCGAATCGATCCGTTGCAGATGATTCATTATTTTATCCCAGCTCAGTTTATTCTCCGTATTCCTATCGTTACACGGTTCTAGGCGCTATGCTGTATTTCACTCTGGTATATGCTACTCTGCGGGCTATTATATTATATTATAATGGCGGTCTAGTCGAAGTCTGATCCACTTTATTCGCTGCGCTGCTCGGTTCTCGAAGGTTCCGTAAGGTTCAATCCTTTTGCTTCTCCTTGTAGATGCCACAGACGGTACCCTCGGCAGCCGGCTTCTCGCCGTCATTCGACTACAGCACCTTTCAATTCGATCTCTCGCTCCTGCCGGATGATTACAACTGCCAGAACGCGGAAGAGTGCAACAACAACAACAACAACAACAACAACCTGAAGCCACCGCAGATCAAGCAGGAAGCTTGTTCGCCAAGACCCGCCTCGCCCACTACCTACCCCAGTCCACCCTATCCTGGACTTGGGGGCGAGCTGTCGCCGAATTACTCGAGAGACACGTCCCCGGGTTACCCGACGAGTCCTTACTACGTGCCCCAGAGTCCTCAGAGCGCACAGTTCTACCCTACGAGTCCTGAGCCCTCGAAGCAGCCCGTCAAGCGCGAAAAGAGCCTCGACCTGCTCGCCATCCTGCAGGAATCCAGGTAAGCCTCTTCAGGGAGTCTGCGTAATTCTCTCGAAATTAGTATAAACGCGTTCGTCCAATTAATTCCAAGCGCTCCTTTTGACTTGCAGACTCCTGGCCGAGAGCCTAGGGTACAAGGAGGATTCCACCGACTGTACAGTCCCGTGTACGCCACCCAGGACCGAAGAGGACATCTACAATACCCTGGACAGTGATTTCTTCGCCAAGAAGGAGGACTCTGATCCTCTTCTGAAGGAGATCCTCTTCAAGGAGGAACCACTCTCGTCCAGCTCCTCGTCGCCGGCGCCAGGATCCCAAGGATCGCCCGAGTACGAGAGTTCGCCGTTGCGCGACCTCCTCTACAAGGGCACCAATCATCACACCAAGGGTGGGAGCCTGGCGGAGGAGAGTCTCAAGATCGGCACTCTGAAGGTGGAACTTCAGGACGATCCGAACGAAGGAAAAATCGGGAATCCTCTTCAACGAGAGGAGGATCTCTTCAAGGACGGCCAGAAGAGTGATCACCAGCTGCTTCGGGAGGTCCTGAGGGACACCAGCTTCCAGAGAAAGTACAATCTGCGTCCCGTGGACCTGGGGGGCGTTGGTACTGGGTACGTCGAGGACATGGAGGGTAGCGAGTGCGTCGGCGACCTCGCCAGGGAGCAGATAGAGCCCGTCCTCAGTCTAGCCATTCAGCAGCTCCAGAAGGACTTCGACAACACCTGCGTGGCCCTGGGCATCCATCCTGGTGAGTAAGAGGAATCATCCAAGTGCTTCAGGACGCCGATGTCTTAATTTGCGAAATTCCCCCGTGGTCCATTCGGGTCTGGCTCCGAACCGAGCTACCTTGCCCGGGGAGTGGGGCAGGGAGCGTGTGGGTCGGTGGGACCGGTTCCCTCTATTGGTCTAAGCCATGACGTCATACTCGGAATAAGTTACGGCACTAATGCCTCTCTCCTCTCGTCGGGGTTATGAAACTCTCGGTGACTGACGAAGGTCGTCATGGTTTTCGGCCACTTAGCGCCTCCTGCCAGATGGGCCAAAACAAGTTATAGCCCTTCGTCTCCGTTGGCTTCGTCCGCGCCACCTTCCGAGTCTCCTGCGTTTTGTCGATTTTACAACCGCTTCTTTTTTCTCTCTCTCTCTCTCCCTCCCCCTCCCGCTACCCCTTCGCCCCCTTTGCCCCTCCGTCCCTTTGTCTTTGTCCCTCTCTCACCTAACGCCATTCTCTTCGCTAACCGCCGACCAGGCTCAGCCTCGCGGATCTAGATCGGCAATCAGCAAAAGCACTCGCTCGCGTTATGTCACCGTAAGGGTGCGTCCACAAAGCCGATTGAGCACCAGGATGATCCTCTCGTTACAGAACCGCGCCGCTGGAGTGCGGCCGACGTTGCAGCTTGGGTGCAATGGGCAAGGAGACAACTGCAGCTGCCTTCGGTGCCACTGGAGAGCTTCAACATAGACGGCGCCACCCTGGCCTCGCTCACCGAGGAGGAATTTTGCCAGAGAGCTCCCCAGGTGAGTCCTTCATCCTAATTCCAGTGGCGCCAGGCGCATCGTGTACCGCTACCTTCGAGCGGGTACCGTTATACCGCGAGAGTCCCTCGTCTTTTCGTCATTTGGTTCTTTCTTTCTTTTTTCCCCTCTCATTTCTTATTCCTTTCATTCGTTTCATCTCGCCTCCGTGAAATTCCTTGGTGAAACGCGCGAGAGCGCTCCGTTAATAAATTGGGTGGGACGCGGGGATTCCTATTGGTCGCTGCTCGCTCGGGTGAAAGTGAATTTCCGGGAAATATTATTGCGCAGGATTTCTTCCTGGTAACGATCAGAATTCATTGGCGCCCAGCCGGAACCTTCGGTGCACCAGGAGAAAGACTGCGTGCCCGAAGAACCTCAGGATTTCTCATGCCTCCGTGGTCTCGGTAATTCAAGACTTTGATTCTTTGATTATAGACCCCCTGTAATCGAATTTCACGTGAACTTACTTCTGCGCTTCCATGATTTTTCGCGATTCCCATGATGCCCGTGACGCGCATGCGCGCTCAGTCTTTTCGGTAATGTCGCTATTAATTATTAAGAGGCTGTCTTGACCCAGAATGCGTGAGCAGCAGCCTCGAACTTGCGGCAACGGTACACCCGAGTCGGGCGGAGCACGTTTCGGAGTTTTACGTACACCCGGTGCATGCAGCTACCGACTGTCTTCGCACACGCTGAACTACAATTTAGCTAGCTTGTCGCGCCGGTGTCCTGCTTGAATAATGTAAAGGCACGTCGATACTGTGCCACGTTATCGGTATTCGGTTGCTGGTCACTTTCTCGATTTCGAATCGGCGGACCGTCCAGGAATCTGGAAATTGCTATACCCAGCTTTGCTTTCTGTCGACTTTGTCTTAAGGCTGAAATATCTCGTTTTACTAACGTCATTACCGAAGATCGTAAAGACGTCGCGTCGTTATGCTTCCTCCATCCATTTCCACGGGAGAAGGTTGAATTCCGCCGTCGGAATTCTCGAGGACGAAGTACCGCAGTCTCGCGGCTCCAGTAGTACGTCAGTCAACGTAAAGAGATACAAGAAAGAAAGGAAAAAAAAAGTCTTCTAGCTGTGTATAGAGGCGAGAACGTGAACGAGCATTCCAACGTTAAGTAACCATTTGCCAGGAATTCGGATGGCGCGCGAGAGAGAGAGAGAGAGACGTACTTGGACAGAGTAGAAAATGATTTTGGAGTCTCAAGGTCGGCCGAGCCATTCGCATCTTTTAGTCTCGCGCAACTCCAATGAAGAAGCAATTCGTTGAGCTCCCGCGTACGATTCCAGCCGGGCGCGAGTCAGACTGGAAAAGGAAAGAGACGCGAAAAGGGGTTGAGCGTGAGGGGAGAAGGATACAGGATCCCCGGATAAATTTCGCAAAGGAGAAATACCTGAGGCGGATCGTAGCTGTTGGAATTGACCGATCTTTCGTCACAAGTGCCGCGCATTACTCAGCGCGCGTCCGAGCTAAGACACACACACGTGCGCCACGCGGCGTTGTTTCAGTTAGATTTCGAAAGATCAATGCACGAGTCCTGAATCACGGGAGCGTGGAGCGCAGCGCGCGCCTCACGATATAAAAGACTGCATAACTGCATCTAAGGTGCGTTCCCATCGTTCACAGCGACACGTAGCCCGTCTAGCGCGCCGTCCCCCCGAAGCCTCTCTCTCATTGGCCCTTGCCGCTGTAGCGCGAGGGGCGATTGGCCCGCCCTCGGCGGATCTCTCCCGCACCTCTCCGAAAAGTAGGTCACTGCGCCTATTGCGTTGCCGCTTTCTCTTTGCGAGCGCGACTCCCGACTCGACTCGATTCCGATCACGGGAAGAATTCTAACGCTTACGTGTCGCCGCACGGCCACACAAGCGACAGAATCGCATCCAGCAACGCACACCTGCCTAACCCGAGTCTTTCGCTCTGCGACTTCTAGCCTCCTACAGACGGACGTCGAGTCTCCTTTGTATTTAAGCCAAAGTGCAGGCTCGGCAGTGGCTGCTGCTGACGTGTCTTACGCAATCGACCTAAGAAGATCTCCTTGACGTTCTCTCTACAGGGTGCCTCTTTTTCTTTGGTTTCAGTGCGGAAGCATGCTGCACGCGCAGCTTGAGATTTGGAAGGCTGCCGTGGAGGAGTCACCCAGGAACACTCTGGCAGCCTCCTGGAGTCCCCCGGGTGTCGTCAACGCGGCCCCCGGCAACGCAACCGGCGGCTCGGCCTCCTCCGCCTCCCCCTCGTCCCTGGGAAATACGAGCAGCAATACGAAGGGCGGCTGCGCTATGGATTATTCCGACGGTAAGAGTCCCGCGGGAGGTCGGACCAGGACGAGTCATCCTCACGAGGATACTCAGCCGGAGATCACTCTGGATATTGCAGAAGAGGACGAGGACGCAGCGGTTGCGCAACAGGGCAGCGTCTCCGCTGGGGGGAAGATGCGTAACGGCGGCTCCCACATTCATCTCTGGCAATTCCTGAAGGAACTCCTGCAGAGTCCCGGTCTCCACGGATCCTGCATCCGCTGGCTGGACCGCAGCAAGGGCGTCTTCAAGATAGAGGACTCGGTGCGGGTCGCCCGACTCTGGGGCAAGAGGAAGAATCGGCCGGCCATGAACTACGACAAGCTCAGCCGCAGCATCCGGCAGTATTACAAGAAGGGCATCATGAAGAAGACCGAACGCAGCCAGAGATTAGTCTATCAGTTCTGCCACCCGTACTGCCTCTAGGTGAGTAAGGCGTCGCCGTCGACGCCGACGTCGTCCACTCTCATCGCGCGATCCTGACGCTCGACCCGCCGCGTAGCGGTAACCGTCGAGTGATAATGCGAATTGTGATCGTGCGATCGAGAGGAAGGAAAATGGGGCTTCCGTATTTTTTCCAAAAATTGAAAAAATCGACCGCGAACCATTGGCGAGAGTGTGTGCTAGCGTGTGTGAGAATGCCTGGACGAGTGAATCCTAAGGATACGAGAGATACGAGTAACTGTCGAAGCGGAAGTCCTAGGTAAATTGCGCGTCAATCGCGGAAGTCGCTCGTCCACATGGAGACAATCCAAGATTAATGAAAATCCACCGAGTTTTCGTTATTTCGAAAATAATGCTAAACGACGGTTGGGTACCCTCGAGTACGCCTATTTGGGCGGTAAATTATTTAGCCTATACGTTTTCGTTAATTGATTAACATATATATATATATATATGTATATACATATATACATATACATATATTATTTCGTATATGTATTAATTTTTTTTTCGTTTTCAACTAATCCTTCGACGCATCCCCATTGAACGCGGTGTTTTCTAAAGGACACTCGACTAATTGATATCATCGACAAACGAACACGTACTAATCAGAGTAATCGACATGTAGAACTTAAGCGCGTCGCTCTCGCTCGACCTTAAGGCGAAGGAGCGACGAGAAAGGTTCGATCCCTTTTGGTAAGGTCTCGTTTAATCGTTAAAAGAGCGGGAGGTACGTCCCGCCATGTTTTGTTTTTTGATAATGGTTCACTTTCCAACTGTTCTTCAGAGACGCGATGACGAATCGATACGAAAAGGAAAGAAGAAAAAAAAGGAAATAATGAAAAATAAGCCTCTTCTTATAATTGCTTGCTGATCGCCTCCGCGAGCTTCGCCATTGTGTTTCCGGCGGTCTTAGCGCGCGGAACGTTTTCGCTGCTGCTTGATCGACGGCGCCACTTTCCAATTACGCGGGCACGAATTTGATCCTTTTTAAGGATCATTCACCGAGCAATCGAGAAACGTACAGTGCCTTGCGGATTTCAGAGTGATCCAAGAAATTTGAAAAACTTTCAAGTGCCTTTTTTATACGTCGCGTGAGAAAAAAAATATTTTCTTTTTTTTTTCCCACCCAAAAACGCGACTTTGCTTCGGTCGTTGGAAAGATGGCGGACTTTGGCAAGAAGCGAACAGTGCGGTTGCGATCGGTGATTTCGGTCCCATATATCTATGATATATTACATGTTGTATGTTCCATGAACGACTAGTATCTAAGCTATACTTAAGATATAAGCAAGGCTCACGTGGGCCTCTTGTAACCTTTTTATTTCTTCCTCTGTTCTCTTCCTCTTAAGGTACCTTTAATAACGTGCATGCATATCTTAAGCCCGAGGACACGTCCATCGCATTGACACTGGGCATGCTGATTGAGGTATCGCCCGATCAATGGGCGGACGAGCCCTTTTAATTAGGTACACCTAACTATAGTTATAGCACGTCGTTATTCGTTGCGTTAGAATTAAATTAATTTCAATCCAATTACGAATTATAAATTACGAATCCTCTCGGCTCAAGTAACTCTAAGCGATTTTTATTATTATTGTCGTCCAAGAAAGAGTCTTCGGATTCTTGTATTTCTTAATTTATCTTATTACTGTTATCTTCGAAATCCATTAACACCCTTCTCGGTCATGCTGTTACTTTGTTTTCTTTTTCTCGATTACGATTCTTCAATTGCTCTGTATATAACTGGCATTACGCTGTAACCGTATCTATATTTATTGCGTCCAAGACGAAATCTTCGTTTAATCGTCACCTGAGGGTAGCCCTTAAAGGTGTCATTCTGTCAAGTGCAAAAGGTACATCAGATTGAAAAGTCTAGACATCGACGATTTTGACGAAGAAAAATAATGAAAAAGCAAGTAATATTTGTTTTGCAAATTCGATCAAGCTTCTCTTGATTTTTCACGCTACAACTATTATTTTCTCTTAATTCTTTAATTAGACAGTATACACAGAATTCCTACATGGAATCGCAAGCAATAAGGTATAGTAAGTTCCAAAACATGGTACATAACGTGACACGTACAGAGCGCGTTATTATTGTCCACCCTATATGATAATTTTAATAAACTATAGCTCGTGCCTCGCTATGAATATACGTACACGAGTGCTGTATAGAAAGATTATTAAAATATATATATATATATATATATATTGTCCCACGAGAAGGACAGAAACAGTACTTAGAGCGTACATGGAAGGGAAGGAAGGTGGGAAGGGTCAAAAGGAAGTCCATCCCAGCGAATCGAGTAATGAAAAGAAAAATGTCCCACGAGAAGGACAGAAACAGTCGTGCCTCGCTATGAATATACGTACACGAGTGCTGTATAGAAAGATTATTAAAATATATATATATATATATATATATTGTCCCACGAGAAGGACAGAAACAGTACTTAGAGCGTACATGGAAGGGAAGGAAGGTGGGAAGGGTCAAAAGGAAGTCCATCCCAGCGAATCGAGTAATGAAAAGAAAAAAAAGGAAGAAAAAAACGAACAGTCGGAATTCGCGCCAAGGAATGAGCTCTTCTTGGCGCGACTTCCGGCAGCGTTTGAAAAAATATTAAAAATGAAAAAAGAACCTCCAGGTTGTACATAGAAATAATATAGGCGAAGAAAGATACGAGCCACCTGGGGTAGGCACTAGGCACTATACGCGCTACCCGAACGAACGTGCGTGCCTGGCGACACGCACGCGGGCTAATTGACTCATTTAAATTATGTAGACGTTACGACCATGAGGAGGGACGCTATCGGCCGAGAGATTTTACCTAATATTCATTATTAATAATGAATGAGCCGCGGCTGGAGATTATATATTGTTTTCTTTTTGTTTATTTTATTTCTACTTAATAAAAAGTTTAATGTTAGGAAAAATATTACATATGTATATGTATACACGCGTATGTCATAATTGAGATTATATATATATATATATTTATAGATATATATATTTTATTATGCGAATATTAATATTGTCATGATGATGTTTAATAATTATATATTATATTATTATATTGTATTATTGTACTGTCGCTTTATTATTATTCGTTGATTATATACATGTTTCCCATGAATGCGTGCGCGATCGGCACGACACCTCTTACACGAACAAGCTGGAGGATCACGTGCGCGGATCTTGTTTACTTTTTTCTAAATTTTCCCGTAACAGATGTTTTGTGCTTTTGCGTCACACGAGTCTGGTCAGAGTGAAAGTCATTGAGACCTCGTCCGGTGAAAGTTCTTAATTCCATTGATTCATCGTTTCGTGTCGCGTGATTCACTGCAAGAGTTAAGTCGCTTTTGTCGCCAGCGGTTTTTTCCAATTTTTCTCTCTTTTGTTTTCACTCGCCAACGGCCTTCCCTCTGTCTTTAATTTTTCGTTCCTTCGCGGTTTTTCATTCGGTCGGCAGCTAATTATGATTTTCTTTTTAAAAATGCACAAACTTCGTTTGTCTACTTTTTATGAACTTTTTATGATAATCATCGTCATCCTCCTCGAGGCACGAAACGTTTGGATTTTGCCACAGAGGCCCGCAGAGCTACGCCCGCAGTCAGCTGCAGGCTTGCCGTGTTGTCTAGTAAAAACAAAAGGGAGGAAATAGAATAGAGAGTACGGAGTTAAAATAAAAAGTGCACGGAGTCCGCCATAAAGATGTATATCGGTTTCGTATAGGTTGGCGTGGGTAACGGCGGCCAAGAGGGTCGCGACCAGTGGGCGTCCCTTTAGTGATTTACGAGGATTTAATCGCACAATTAATCTAACACCTTGTTGTAACAACACCTCGCCACGGAGCAGTCATGCCAGGAAAGTTCGCGAGGCTGTAGAGACGAGCAACGGATCCGCCGCTTCGTACCACGTTGATTCAGGGATCGGCCATTACGGAAATCCTATCGAAATTACCCGACATTACTTACGACTTGGTTCACCCTTAGAGGGACGGAAGACAATAGGTTGGAAAATCGGCTCAATATCTTTTTAACGTAACTTATCGACCATTGACGCGTCTATGAATTTCTGCCATGAAAGCTAAAAGATCATGTCCTAAAATACGTCAGCCCTCCAGAGGCTAATGGAACCGAGGAAAGAACGAATGTTCGGTGTCCTTTGAGATGGTGAGATGAAGAAAAAAAAATAGGGGTATATAGCAAAAAGCACTGAGACGGGTCTCAGGCGTTACCTCGGTGAAGCATAGAGGTGAGATGATTTCGTCGAGCCGCGCAGCATCCGCCAGGAGATTCTGAGTTGGCTTGGATTAGATGATTGTCTTTGGAAACTGGGGAGGGAGGTGGACGAAGGTGAGAGGATCACCCCCACATGGTAAGGTTTGTGCGCGTGCGAGTCTCTTGCCCGAACCAAGGACAACAACATTCTCCGTAAAACTAATTGCCAGGTAAATATATCTATACCGTAGAGAATTTATTACGAGTCGCGTTGGACTCTCGTGCACCGACTTGCTGTAATTTATGCTTTCATTACGGACTAGGAGAGATTCGTCGTAGAGTAAAGCGGCGAGTTGGACTTTTTTTAGACTGAGTTGTTTTCAACGCGACCCACCGTCGAAGGTTTTCGAGTGACTTTGCGAACGCGGAAGCAGGTGACAGTTTGGTTGATCGACGAAGAAAGGAGCTTGATATTAATTTGAGAAGCAAGTGTTTTTTTTCAAAAAGGTCGCATACCGATATTCGAAGAGAAACCATAAGAACACTCTCGTTGTCTTGTATATAGCAATTCATGTCGGTTAACAACTTTTCAAGAGAATGGAAAAAAAAATGGAAAGAAAATGAAATAAGAATTACAGTGGTTAAGCGACGGGGCAGCTGTAATGGCCCATAATGATCAACTCACCCGCGTCGTTATGCCTGTCGTCATTTTTTCAACAGATAAACAGAGATCGGTAAAGATCGTAACGACTTTGCATTTTTCAGTTTTCACATTCTCCTTGAAGCCCGATCCTTTTTCTATCGCAGCTCTGCCTTTATCTGCTTTTACAAAATACTCAACCTCCCTCGTCTCTCCATGTCTAGATCTACTTTCATTCTCCAGCCTGTCGATCCTCTCGTGCAGATACCGGAAACATACGATGGAACCGAGTCGAACAGTGGCGACGCTTTCAGGGCGCGTGATCATCGCAGGAACTAGATTTCCTCGTCTCTGCGCGGCATCTTCCTAGCTGGGAAAGCGTATCGCGCGTGACAGCCAGCAGACGTGCGAATGCGAACATAAATCCAAATTAGCGTGAACGGTAACGCGGTCTTTAAATCAAGCGCGCACGCAACCGCCGCGCGAGATCAGTTCGAGCGCGCGCACTGCGGCAGCTTAGTCCCTTCGACGGTACATTGTATATCGTTTACTTCAAATAATCGCGACGCGATCACACGCTCGGCAACCGGCAAACATACGCATTCGACATAGTACGTCTTGACCATACGGACAGGAGATTCCATTGAGGAATTATTTTCTGTCTTGTAGGCATTATTTTTACTTTATTTCTACAAGAGGAGTCGGCGGGAGTTCCCTTGTGAGCCGTGTTCGATATTACAGAGATGATATAGGGATAAGCAATATACGCGTACGATGGCGTTATCTTTGAAACGCATTAAAATGGTTTGAGATGATAAAATTTTGCAAGTTGCATATCCATTTTTCATCTAAAGGTGAGAAAAAGAAAGTCTTAGCTGGAGGGAAAAATGTGTTTTGTAGTTCTAGGAAGTTCCGCTAAGAGACACGTTAACCAGGTACGAGTAAGGAATTGCCGCCAATGAGCCGATTTTCATGGTCCAACCTTTATTTCGATGTCGACGCGTTACTCGAGCGGAGGATCCTCGAACCAGTCTCACATTTTTGATTAGTCGAGTATATATGTATATGTTGAGTATATACTACGCGTGATATTCGTGAGCTCAGTGAGAAGCATGGATTTATACCGGGTGGCACTCTAAGGCGTGTATTTTGGTGTCGACGTGCCACCTGGACGGTGAAGCCTCCAACCAATTCCACGTTTATGATCGGTCGAACGTAAGTACCATCTAAGCAAACAGAAATAAAAGTTTCCCGATTTCTTTACCATGGTGACTGTACAGCACACGTGCATGTTGCTCCGGTTAGCGCACAGGATTCTCGTGTTCGAGACTGGATCATTTTAAAAAAAATTGATTCGCTCACCATCTCTGGTTTTACTATGTACATTTCATTATATTGTATACTTATAATAAACACAAATCAGCAGAGTGACAAACCGGATAGATGAATATAAGTACAAGTAGGAATCGAGTACTTATATAGAAAATGCACTAGTCTGTACCGGCACGTGGGCCCTCACAGCCATGAGCCATGAGGTACTGGGTTCGCGGCCGGATATTTTTTTTTTCTTTAATCAGGCCGCGCGGCGACCACGGACATATTGACGAAAAAATTATTGGAGTAATGTAAGTATATACATCAGTAATGCAGAAACTTCTACTCGTCAGGTAGGATGTCAATGCCAAAATAAAACTTGGACCATGAAAATCGGCTCATTTGCAATCTCCCTAGTCATCTATGTCAACTACTTTTGTGCAACACGAATTTCTGATAGTTGTGCACATTTTTAACAGGCGGTACTATTGAAATATAGATATTTCACTTACAGAAGTTCGGCAATAACATATAATCTAGGATATGATTCTACACATATATTTTAGACGATAATACAAATCTTGACTTATGCAAAATTTTAACGATTTACAAAACTCTTGGAATGTTTTGTAAATTCATGTTTAACTCACGCTTCCCTATTACTATTATGACTATCATCACCAAACCTCCTTAGGTATTGTGATACTTGTTTCTAAATTGACTATTTGGCAAAATCATTTTTAAAAAATATGAAATACATTTTTTCTTAAGAATTCTTATTAAGATCCACATCGTGACACATGTGTTGTAATTTCAAAGCAGACTTGGTATTACAAAGTATGTGGAGGTAAGATCGTAAGCAAGGTGATTGATTCAGATGTCTTATATTAAACATTCTTATATGCTATAAAGCTAATTATTGTTATCCTCTTCCTCGTCCTGTTTGGGAACCCCCTGGTTGATTTTGTTGATTGAGCCAAGGTGCTGAGCCAGTACCCCTGCCTCTTTGGTTCTGCCCTCGACCTCTTCCACGAGCTGTATCAACAAAGCACATTACTTTAGACAACAGTAAACACAATGATATATGATAATTTGAGTAACAACTTCTGACTATACAAAATGATATTACTCTCTATAATAACGAATAACAAACCTTGAGCTCGCAGAATAGCAGATTTTCCTCTACCCGCAGTTCCCGAACCTTTCCCGCCAGGTCTCTTAAACATGGGTGCATTCTTGAGCATATCTGGTAAAATCAGAAAGCGAATTTTCGAACCTCGAATGTAAACATTCTCGAGTTTACTTGTTTCGCCGTCCCTGTAAGTCACTGAAATATTTTGCATTTGACAATTCATATTATCTTCAGCTTCTATAAGTGTCCCACGATAAACCTCGCCGGTGTTAGTTTCACACGTTATTGTCTGACCCTCCGCTTCGTGAAGCACTTTTATTGGAACGCCGATCGACATTTTGATATCGCACCAAAAGTATCTGTAAGCAGAAACGTTAATTTACAACTACAAAACTTTATAATAAGCCCCAATCAAAATTAAATGCAAAATAATTAGTTTAAAGCGTCTCGATCACATACGTTTTGCTGTTGCCGCACGCTAACCTATATCTTTTAGTTAACCATGGACTATGCGAAAAGACGCCGCCGCAATATCATGCGGCAAATTTCAGCCGCCGAACAGCGCCATGTAGCGGTGACAGGTAGAACAAAAAATATAGACAATGAAAATGCATAAAACCGAATACATGTAAAATTGAATGTCTTGTTCGTAGCAGCATGGATAATATTGCTATCCTATTTTTACGTATACGTGTTTTTTTTTTGATACATCACTTGAGTGAAAAATAACAAAAAGAAAATGGAGCACATGACTAGATACAAAATATCGATATTATTTCTTAGCCCATGAGGAATCAAATACACAAGAGTTGTTTGAAAAATGGTTCTTGTTCTTTTTAACGAAAATGTGAAACAGATCATTTCGGATGCGACATCGTATTAACTAATATGAATGTGTGTACGGGAAACATTATTTGCAAGCGAGTGACAGTGAATTGCAGGAAGCATCTGTGAGTTTCGTTTTTTCTTCAATCTTACTCTAATTTTAGTTGGTACAAAAATCTATAATATTTCTGGGACCTGCAGCAGAACCGCAAAATACCAAGATAACACATTCACTGTATAATTGTATTATGTATATTTTTCATTCACATCGAGTGCAATTTTTTTTTACCATTGTCGCTTTATAAATCTTCGATACAAAAATGATTCGATGATCGGGGTACGCCTTTCTCTTTTTCATTCACCCTCTCCTCGTTTGCATGGAAAACTATCAATAATCGATCATCAATACCCTTACATAGATATCGATCTACATTCTTGTAATTATGTTTATCCTTTGAATGAATATCATACAAAATCTATTGTTATATTAATATATAATTATTCTTACTAATACGTTAAAGGTAATATCGCCAAGCTGTACTGTCGCGGAAGGAAATTGCATTACTTATCTCGTAAGAGGAGGGATATAGGGATAGGTGGGTATTGGGATTATTTTACAAAAATCTTAATAACATTGATGTTCACAGAAACGGCAGTGATTGGCACCCAGGTTAACAACAGTTTCGTCTTACGGGTTGCCGCGGGTCGATTCGTAGTAAAATTTGTGTTTCATAGACACGAAAAAGAAAATTATTAAATTTATTCACATACGACCTTGTCGAGTGCCTATGAGATGTAAGACGATAATTAAATATTCGCTATTTTGACGTGTTGTGAAGAATGAGTATCAGCGTAATGTTGGACGGGTCGTGTCAAGTTAAGAAAAGAAACAAGAACAAAGAATCGTCACACTATTAGTGACTGTATTATCGGGGGGTTCCAATGAATTGAGGAGCTAGTGTGTTGCAGAGAGTGTACGAGCAAACAGAGAACGCCGATGTAAAAAAGCCCCATTAAAGTTAAATCGCAGTCTTATTTAACCCCTTACTAAAATGTTTCACAAATCGAAGTTAATTACTATCAGTAAATTCAACTTAAACGCATAGACGCTTTGCGATAAATTTATTCTGAACTTGAGGAAAACATGATATTCCATTGACCCAGAAACGGTCGCCTCCGTTTACTCAGAAATCTTCACAAGTGCCAATCACATCTCACACAATCCAGTCACACGCACGCATTCTTTTTCTTCTTCGTCTTCTCACAGGACACATTCGTATTACACATTATGCGTCGTTACAATACTAATCATACGTTGCATATCCACTCGCCCCAGTACTTCTAGCAATTTTTAATCTACGAATCAATTGATAGCTCGCGTGTTAAATTCTTCTAAATCAAAATTAACGTGACCTGCGCTTATAATGCAAATAAAAAATGAGTGATCTTCAAGATTCTTGAGATTTTTCTCCCGTGACACAAAGCAATACCAGGCAATACCAGCTCATCGCAGAAAGCCAAAATATTGTTTACGATAAACAGTTTTCGTTAGTGGAACTAAACGACTTTAGTACGAGTTGGTATTACTGAAAAGGCTTAATCAAAATGAACGACCTACCAGATTCGTCACGAATAATAATGAAATATTCGTGGAACGAATTCACACACAGTACAATTTCACGAAACTCTTAATTCGCCAAACGGCAACTTATGCGATTTTAGAAATATCGTCGCACTCGTGCCATTAAGGCTATTTACCTCGAATAGTGAATTAAGCATGATGATAACAATAATGTCCATTGCAATAGTAACAATATGTACAGGTTGCCCCATGTAATGCGTTCTGGTCAAATAATATTGCATTCAGACGCAAAGTACGTTCAAGGTTACATACTGGGATTGTTCTATAAGCACCATTTACAAAAACTTATTTTCATATTGTCACACACATATGCGAGGCCGATTATTTTAGGCGCTTACAGTAACGAATCTCAGTGCACCTAATTGGAAATTAAAACAATACATTTTCATTATTTTTCTTCATAACAGTTCTCTATTCGAGTCACAATCGAAGGATATCTCGAACCGATTACATCGCACAAAGCATCCTGCATAAGATATAGACCGACAGTGAAAATCTAGCGTATAATTTGTTATTGGATTAATGGCAATAATATAGAATGACGTAAATAAGGGACTATAGCTAAATTAGTTAATCTCTTCGATGTAACATAAAGCTAGGACAGCACATGGCGAGTGGCACGATATAGTAATTGAAATTTGGAAGGAATGCACTTTGAGAGTGAAAAAAATAAAAGAAAATGTAGTAGGAGAAAGAAGCATGTCGAATTCGCAAAACAATGAGATTTTATCAGATCAATTTGATTGTCCTTCTTCTTCAACAGAACCATTGCCGAGTTGCGTTGTATACAGTGGCTAAAACTTGACTAGAAAACGGACAAACGTACGAACGAACAAATTTGCTATTTCCACGTAGCGTTCCCGCAATAATCTGTAAACTCAGACCTACTATAAATTTGTTTTTACCTAATTTTCGACTTCTACTCGATAGAAACTATCAGACGCGAACGGTACAGCCATTAATATTACGCGCAGACGCACTTCTCGTCGCACTTCAATATTGAACTGTCACGTAGCGCGCGTGAATATGTGTTCATCGATACGTTCATCTTTGTCTGTATACAAAATATAAGAGAAAGCTTGTTCACTCGATATAAAAGATTCACCTTATAATACGAGTGCCGTACAAAAATCTGGTACTAATCTTACTTGTGCACTTTAAACTGAATAAAGATATCAGTCTTTCCTTATCAGAAAAATAATACGTATGCGTATGCGCTGACACGCGTGCGCTGCGCGTTCACTAATTTATGCGTGACAATGATAATGACATGATATGATTATGACAATAATCAAAGATAATTAATAATAATGTACACTGGGTCGCAATGGCATTTTCCGTACCGCTACGTAAATGGAATAACAATACTTGTTAATGGAAATGTTAGGAAGAATACTGTGTGTAAGTCAGCGCTTCCCCTTTCGCAATCGTAACTTACAGAGAAAAGCATGTACTTCGAGATATTCTTTTTCCTTTAGTTGAAATTAGGATTAATTGGTCGATATCATTCTACTCTCTCTCTCTCTCTCTCTCTCACACACACACACACACACAC